CCCAAAGTCCACCTTCAGCATTCCCTGGGGACCTCGCCGCTCCATTCCCTTGCTGTTCTGTTGCACCCCCTTAGCGTTTCCCCTCGGTGTGGCGGGACCGACCGGGTGCAATTCCTACACTGTGTCTCCGGTGCAGTCCCCTGCAGGGCCATGAGTCAGTGAGGGGCATCGATTTGTAGCTCTTTTTACATGATAAACATAATGTCAGGATTTAAACGTTTCATATTTTTAAAAAACTGGGTTGTAAATGATTGTAACACTTGCTTGTTGTGGCAAGGATTTTTGTATAATGGGACGGGACTCTTCAGAGCTGCATAGTACCCTGATGAAAGGAGATAAATTAAGCAACGATCTAGTAAGGAATCAGATTTTTGAGCTAGGTTATGATGTTGGAGGCCAATCAAGCTTCTCGGTTGTGGTGAGAAATATGACATGAGGCTGTGCTTACGGAAACTGTATGGAACTCCATAGAGCTAGGGCCCCAATTCTCCTCTCCTGACACCTAGTTCAAAACTTTTCCATTATATCATAGGCCTCCATGGAGAAATCACATGGGACATTTAGGCAAAAGAAAACCATTAAACTGCCTTTCAGATATTTCTGATATTTCCTCCTAATGTCACTTTAAATGCCCAAAGCACTAGATCTTTAAAGTGCAGCTATGCAAGGCAGATCTGCAACTTTGTGTCTGCCTGGATTCCCAAGTAGTAGGAACTTCCTCTAGGCTCTGGAGATTTGTTGACATTTGTTGACATCTGGCAATATTTGCTTCTCACAGCTAGAGCGGGCTTTGTGGCTGGCAACTAGTGGGTGAGGGCAGGGTTGTTGTGACCCTTAAACATGTTCTGGTTGACAATTTAAATACGAGTATATGGAAGCATAAAACAATGTTCTCTCCATGGCTCCTTCCCTTCCTGAGTTAGCCCCTGTCAGGTTATGCCGTGGGAATCTATAATAGCCATTTCATTGAACAGGTTTCTACGGAACACTTAGTCCTACTGATTTCTATTGTATGTTGTGTCTTTTCCTTTGCGCTTCCTCTTCTATTTAACGAGTTTTGGATATTACATTCCTACCAGAGGCAACTATAGATGGTTAATAGTGTGCCAAAACTTTAAAAATTCCTAAAATTCTTAAGGTAAATAAAGGAGAGTTGAGTCATTGGCCAGAAAATGGTTACAAAATAGACTTTGGGGGACAATTCAATTTATTATATAGCCAATTTGTATGTTGAACTGACAAAAGCCAGCCGTTGCAAACAAATAGATGGGTGCTATTAATACCAGGGAAACCTGAGGCCGCAGCCGATGGCTGGTGGGGTCATTATTTGGACTTGTGTCTACCTGACATCAGAGCCTTAAGCTCTAGTCATGATTCTGTAGATTTGCAGTCCTCTCTCTAAGCCAGGGCTTCCAACTGGTTCATTTCAATTTGACTCTCTGCTAAGAATTTGCATTTCCATCCCAGATATACTGAATCAGAGCTCACATTTTAACAAGATTCCCCAGATGATTTTTTTAAAAAATTATTTTATTGGTGGCTTGTACAACTCTTATCACAATCCATACATATATCCATTGTGTCAAGCACATTTGTACATTTGTTGCCCTCATCATTCTCAAAGCATTTGCTTTGTACTTGAGCCCTTGGTATCAGCTCATTATTTTTTCCCCTCCCCCACGTGCGGGCCCCCACCCCCAATAATTTATAAATCATTATTTTTCCATGTCTTACACTGACCAATGTCTCCCCTCACCCACTTTTCTGTTGATCATTCCCCGGGGAGGGGGTTATATTTAGATCCTTGTAATTGGCTACCCCTTTCTACCCCACCTTCCCTCCACCCTCCTGGTATTGCCACTCTCACCACTGAAGGGTTAATCTGTCCTAGATTCCCTGTGTTTCCAGTTCTTATCTGTTCGTGTACATCCTCTGGTCTAGCTGGATTTGTAAGGTAGAATTGGGATCATGATAGTGGGAGGTGGGGAGGGCATTTAAGAACTAGAAGAAAGTTGTATGTTTCATCGTTGCTAAACTGCACCCTAACTGGCTTGTCTCCTCCCTGTGACCCTTCTGTAAGGGGGTGTCCAGTTGCCTACAGATGGGCTTTGGGTCCCAGATGATTCTTTTAGGTCTGTAATCTCTTAGTAAAATGTAGATTCTGACTCAGCTTACCAGTGATGGAAATGGAAGTCCAAAGCAGGAGTTTAAACTAGGATGAACAGGTTCAAAGTCCTTATGTAAACTGAATACACCTACTACTGACGACTCTCATTAGCCAACATTTTGCATGTGTCACACTTTGAAAAAATTCTCAGGTGGCTCCTCCAAATTGTTTGGACCCCATGTAGGTCTGAGGCTGGGCCACCCCCTGCAGGCCTCATTGAGCAGTGTATCCGATAACCAAGCCACAAAGAGGTGGTGCTCATGTGGCTGCAAAGCACCTTTTGTTCATCTGGAAGATCTCATTTGACAGAGGGCATGAGGCAGTGGGGTGGATGTTAGACAGGCAGGCAAGAGGCCAGGCTCTGGCGGGGCTTGAGGTAGAGGGAGGCAAGAAAGGGCTGCTTGGTTGTTTGGGGGATGGCACAGATGGATGTAGAATAGGGACCTTGCTCAAGCTATCAGTTGGCAGCTGGGCTGAATACAAGCAAGAATCCCTACCCAGGGAGGGCTCTGGAAGGCAATATGTAGCCACCCCTGAGCCTCCACCTTAAAAGCCAGAGTGGTGGAGTTAGGGGTGGGGAAGGAGGGCTTGACAACCGGACACTGGCACAGCCCCCAGTGCTCACATACACACTGGTCTAGCCTAGAGAAAGAACGTAGCTGTCAGTAAGCGAGAGAAGTGGCTACGTTACCATAAGAGGCAGTGTTTCTTCACTTGCTATGAATTAGACACATTTGCTATAGTATGTAGTTCAGACAATATTTTAGTTTTATTTTAATCAGTAATTTGAGAAAATTGTTATGTAAATGTTGAGAAGAGTATACTAATCTCTTCGAATTTGGATTTTATTTACTGAAAAGGAGCCCTGGTGGCATAGTGGTTACACATTGGGCTGCTAACTGCAAGGTCAGCAGTTTGAAACCACTAGTGGCTCCACAGGAGAAAGATGAAGCTCTCTACTTCCATAAACAATTATAGCCTCACAAACCCCAGGGCGCTGCCACCCTGTCCTCTTACAGGGCTGTTATGAGCAGTATGGACTCAATGGCACTGGGTTTGAGTTTGTTTTTTATTTACTGACTAGAATATAATTGCAGTGGTAACTCGCCACTAAGACAGAGGCCAGCTAACTAACTGCACGTGGCTGACCACCCGTTTGATGAACAGAGCTTTGTTGGAATGCAGCCAGGTGGGTATGGCTTCCACTGCCATCCTGCTACAATGGCAGGGTTGTCACTGTGACAATAGGTGACCTGCCACACTAAGCTTTCCCTGGCTCTTTATGAAAAGGTTTGCCAGCTTCTGATACAGAGCAGCAACTATTTTGTTTCTAGTCATTCTAGTCAAATTCGGGTTCATTGGGGGAGTTGGTCATACTTAACTGGATTTGATTCAGAAACATTGCTGATGGTTTCTTCCATTTCTTAGTTAGTCTCAAGCAACGAGGGGCAATGGTTTTAAAGCTGATGTCAGCGGCATTTTAGAAATGAAGTCTTAGGTGTTTACTTCCTGCCTAACGTCCAGAAATTGTTTGGCTCTCTGCAGGTGTCCCAGAGTTAGCACAGGCTCCACTTTTCCCCACGGACCAACAGCATCTTTTGCAGTAAGAAAGGACGGTGCTAGCAGCTCTCTGGATTTGGTGGCATTAATGCATAAGGAGGGCACCTTAAAGGTGACCTACTTGTGAGGCCCTGATGGTGACATTCAGAATTGTGACATCTACCCCAAATCTTGCTGCTGCGCAGGTGGACTCTGCTCCTTGGGGCCACTGGACTCCTGAGCTCCTTCAGCGCACGCCTGCCCAGCCCCACCTAGCCTGCAGAGCTGGTAGCTGTGAGGGGTTGACCAGCTATTGGGGATATAAATAAATGAGTTAGCATACAGCATGCAACTTCCCCCATGACAGGGTCCCTCTCTGCCAGGGCCCTGGGACATGTCATCTTGCACTCCTTGCTGCTGGTCCATCTGAAAGCATTGCTGTGCTTGTCGGGCCCCGTTGCTCCTTGCTCCGTCATTCAGTCTATGCTCCTGACAGCAGCAGCCTCCGCGTGCTGGAGCTCCTTGAGATCGACAGTCTGCTCCCACCCGCCTGCAGAGTCAGAGCCTGCCTTTAAACCACGACGACGCCTGGATTGTAAAGTTTGAAAAGCACCGCTGTATGTGGCACTTGGCTTACTGCCACTCTGCTTTCTAACTCTGTGCCGGTTAAAACTCCCCCCATCACCTTCACGGGCTGCCTGTGTTCCCCTCCTTCTGCCCACCCGGACTCCCTGCCGCTGCCTGGGTCTTATAACTTTGGGCCCTCATGTATCCTCCTATCTCTCCGGACCTAACCCCTTTCTTTTCACTTGGCAGTTGCTCTGAGTGTACACGCTCAGTTCACTCACTTCAACAAGTAAACACACCCTAACAGTCCTCCCCTTACTCTCCACCCCGTCCTTTCCCCCAGAAGATCATGGGTACGTCATTCCCACATTCTCCTCAACCCCTTTCTGTTAGCTTTTATTCCACCCTATCATCAGAATATCTCTTACCGAAGTGACTCCCTAGTCTGTAGATTTCATGACTTGTCTTGTTAGGAATCTTGTATTCCTGCTGTGTCATTTGACTCTGGATTTTTCTTTCCTTGTTGCTGCCTGCTTAACCTCTTACCTCTTTCAACTCCCACGTCAACTCCCTTTCCTCCATCAGCTTCTTAAAAGGTGCCGTTGCCTTGAATTCTCGCATGATTTTCATCATTTCTCACACAAATGCTTCCTGGACACCCTCAGCTATGCCCATAGCTTCTACAACTACCGTGTGCTCACCACTCCATTACTCAGGCCTCAGTGTTGGTCTTCAGCTCTAGCTCCATGTCTCTGCCGGAGACAGACATTAGTAGAGTGTCTCACTCTAGGTTAGTAGAGTGACTTTGAGGATGTTAGGTTAGAAACAAAACTGTAAGAGGTTTATATTAAGAAGTACTCTTATATCAAGAAGAGATCCCGTTCAGTCCAACTGAAGTCCATGGGTCCATGGTTAGCAGGAGCCTCTCACATATACCCACGTAGCTGCAGTTATTGGAGCTGCCGGTTGATGACGCAGAAAGGTGGAGCAGGATGCAGGAAGATCACAGGCTGGTGGGGGCAGAGTCGTGTGGACACATGGCTGGTCTCTGAAAGCTCTCAGGTTGGGGAGCCCACATGGGACTGCCTCTGGAGGCAGGCACGGAGTCTCAGCAAGCCAGGAGGGGTCCTCAGTGATCCCCTCCCAGGAGGCATCATCAGGCTGTGACCTGGTTGACAGGTTGGATTCCACTCCTGCACTTTCACACAAATTCAAGTTGACATAAAACGTAACTACCACAGGTATGTTACTTGAAGACTTTGTAGACCTCACTTTACTCACTGGTAAAATGAGTATAAAAATATGTTTAGAAGTAAACAAAAATGTTTATAAACGACATAGTACTCCAAAATCTGATGTACTCTCTTTCTTTCTTATACTAGATTTATCATCAGATCCCCAACTCGGACCCATCTTCTGATCAAACAAAGCAGATCATCTCCACTTTGAAGACGCAGGGCCTCTCTGACTGTCAGGTGGTCTCCCGAAGCCACTTCTCTCCTATTTACCTGTCGTTTTTCATGCTCCTGGCTGCCCTGAGCTGGCAGTATCTGAGCATGCTATCCCAGGTCTCCGAAGACTATGTTCAGACTGGAGAACACTGATTTGAGATTGTCTGGAAGCGAAAGTTTACCATGAGATGGATTGACCGTTTTTTCAAGGATGGATATTGGCCTCTCTTCTTTCCCTTCTGATTTAATCTCGAAAAGAGTGTGATCATTTAGACCTATTAAAGAAACTAAAATGAGAATTTCAAAATGAAAAAGGATCCATTGCCCTCATCAAACTTGGTACACTTCTGGGTAGTGGTCAGTGTTTGCTTTATTAGCTTGAGGCTGACGACAGAACATTCGCGGTTGCAGTTTAGGTAACGGCTGCAACAGGAGAGTCCCGGGATTTGATTCAGTGTGACTCCTCAGGAGGACTGGGGTATGAATGTATGTAATTTTATGTAACTGAATTTCCTACTAGGAAATGAAGTGCATTCTGTTGGTTCTTTTTGTCATCACTTTGTACCTCTTTTATTGGTTTCAGTGTAGTAGATGTGAATGTCTGTGCTAATGACATTTCCACATGTCTAAGAAGGCAGACTGTTTTCTGCACAGGAGGGCTGACAGTTAAACTCTGGGTATTCTGGAATCTTCGTCTCATCAGCCTTCATAGAGAGACAACAGATTGTTCTTGGCCCTAATCGAGAAGATGGCTCTCAGGGAAGCCTGAAGCTTCCGAAAAGGTTTCTTCTAATAAACAATTGAATGACTTTGCATTTGTGTGGTGCCGTTGATTTGAAAATGGAAATAACCATGAGACACGAGGACTTCATAGCTTCAACTCCCTTTGTGCCCCAGCGCAGCTGCGGTGTCGTGCACTCTCTGAGATACGGCCGAGAGGTCCTCTATGGCGGGGATGTTTGAAGAAGTCTGTCAGGTTGAAAATCAGTGACTTTGGAAATGAAAATGGGTAGTGGCTTTCAGAAAGACCATGGAGGCATATTTTTATAGATGTTAGATGTCTTCTCTTGCTGCAGCCCCTTGTGTACAGAGTCATTTCATTGGGTTTCTAGCACGTGATGGTGGGCTTGTGTTGTTACACTCACATTGTTGGCTGCCACCACGCCAGCCCTTGATACATGGCAACCTCGTGTGCAACAGAACCAAACACTATCCATTCTCTTTTAGAGATTGCAGCAGCTTGTTTCTCAGTCGCCATGGCGAGAGAGCCGTGGCTGAGAACTGAGTCTCACGCATGGAAAGTAAGAATTCTATCATTGAGCCACCCCCACCCCCCATTTTCCTCTTGTATCCCCCTGACCGCACCCAACCCAAAACAATTAGTAATTTGGATCCATGGACACTAGGCTCATTTGAGTTAGTCCTGGGCAAACTTGTCACCAGTGTTTACTCAAAAGCACTCTTCAGCATGAAAACACTGATTGTGATTTCAAGGTAGGGTGTTCAAATCTGAGAGCTAGTTGCACTAACGCTCTGTAAACACAGCACCAGGTCCGGGGAAGAGCTGGGTGGGTCGGGCTGGATGAGGGGAGGGGCTCGGTCTCCGTCATCACCTGCGGGACTTCACGGGCTGGCTCTGGAGGAGGTGCTCGCAGGCCCTCTGGCTTAAGGCCAAGATTTGACTGTTAACAACTTGGGCGAAGGTTTCAGCTTGTACTCACTCGTAAACTGTTTGAAAAAGTGTTTTCCCTCTCTCATCCTCCACCAGGCTACCACATAAACTATAGGCTGTGCAGTGAAATTGGAATTGGCACCGCTTAAGTAGTTCCTAAATCTTGCACAAGACATATTTATATTCATTACATACTTGAAACTGAACCGGGCCTCTTGTAGTTTTATTTGCTAAGTTTGCAACTCTTGCTTTCTTGTCCACACTCCATGTAGAGCATCCATACCATACAGTGTGACGAGCCTTGGTGACACAGGGTTAAGCATTGGGGGGAAATGCCAGGTCAGTAATTCAAACCACCAGCAGCTCTGCAGGGGAAGATGAGACTGTCTGTTCCGTAAAGGTTTAGTTTCCGATACCCTTTATAATGGGGTCACTGAGTTGGAATTGATTTGATAGCGGTGGGTTTTGGTTTTGGTCTGCATAATCTATTTGATTCCTACGTACAGTGGAGGTTTTTCAAACATTCCCACAGGAGTGTGTGAGCCACCTGGATCTAGGGCTTTGAGAAACAACAGATCCACGTTGTGGAGGCCTCGGGAGACTGGTTGGACCGTCGGCATGGCAGCACGCTCTTCTCCCTCTTGAGTTGGGCATGGAAGGACTAAAAACTTAATGAGATTGCAGGGACCTTAAATTCAGTCACACTTCCATCGTCTGTGCCAAGCTGTAGGAAACCTACCACACTCCCACTATGGTGAGTGTGCGTGGGTCCCAACGTATGGCGCCTCCTGGTGTGCAGAGAACTCCATGGGGATTTTAAGACAGCTGGAATTGGGACCAGGCTTTATTGCTCAGGTGGCTCTGTGTGGGTTTGAACTATCCACCTTTTGGTTAGTCCAGCATTTAATCATTTGCACAAAGCCATTTTTCTTTTAACTTTTCATTGTGTCTTAGGTTGGGGTTTACTTATAATTTCTACATTCAATAGCTTAACTCTACTCACTTCCTCTCCACCTCCTCTGCTTCCCCCCAACTCTTTTTTAGGATTTTGACTTCCCTGTCACCCCTGGTAACCATTCAAGTCCCTTTCTTATTGTATGAAAACCTTTTCATTTGGTTTTCATATCAATGGTCCCAATATTTGTCCTTTTGTGGTTGACTAACTTCACTTGGCATAATTCCCTCCAAATTCATCCATGTCAGGAGCCACCTGTGTCCTCATCATTCTTCAGGGATGTATATATACTGTGTTTATTCACTCTCCCACCAATGGCCATTGAGGCGGTTTCCATCTTGCTAATGTGAATAGTGCTGTGAGGGACGTGTATGTGCACATCTCTGTTATTTCGGTGGGGCATGCACCAAGAGCTCAATTTCTGGGTCACGGGGCATTTTTATTCTCAGTTATTTGAAGCAGGGCCTTGTAGCTTTCTACAGTGGTTGTACTGTTATGATTCCACCAGCAGGGTATGGGTTCCAATCTCTGCATCCCTGCGGCAGTCGTTTTCCGCTTTCTTTGAGCTTTGCTGTCAGTGTCAGGGTGAGGGGGTATTTAATCATTTTGAATTCATTTCATGGTTAACAATCAATTTCACACCTTTCATTACATTAGCCACTTTATTTATTTTTTTTTTCTTTTAAAAAAATCATTTTATTTGGGGCTCATACAACTGTTATCCCAATCCATACACACATCAATTGTGTAAAGCGCATTTGTACATCGTTTCTCAAAACATTTTCT